TATCTGCCTTTTCTGCTTGGGTGAGGCCCCCTAATACAGCCACGTGCCAGATTTGCCTCCAGTTTACCCCAAAAGCCTTCTCAGATTGAGTAGTGCACTTAAAGGCAAGCTTATGGGAGAAAGTGCTCTCTTACTCTAATAGCCCGACAGCGAAAGCATCTGCCCCAGCAGAGCACAGTCAATCCTTGCCTTTGAAATCACCGGTTAGAACCGACCATCTTGCAAGCCCACCACTGAGTGTCTCGGTTCCATCGGTTCCGAGGACAGAACAGAAGCATCGGGTCCAATTGCCTACCCATTCAGCTGAATGCTGCTGACCCCCCACCTAAGAAAGCCCGTTCCAAATCCAAACATAAGGAGAAGCACCGTTTCAGTTCCAAGACACTTCTGGAATTGATTAACTCCTCTGTTCCAGCCAAACTGTCTCACTACGAATGCCTTTTCCACATGCCTCCCTGGGTCATTCATTTTCAGAAGGGGAGATAGAACCTGGCCAGAGTTCATTGGCAGTCTCAGCAGCTAGTCGACCATCGGAGCCAGCCTCCCCAGCACCGTGGCAGAGTTCTATGCCTCCACCTCCTTGGTAAGGCTACCCTTATTATTTACCTCTCCTAGACCTCAGGAATGGGGCAACCAGCAATCACAAAAAGCACCACTAGAACCAACGCACCCCTTTTCACGGAACCGTAACACTGCGTGTCCACCAGTTTGGTATCCTCCTGCAGTCTCTCCCTATCCCCTTATGGGGCATTCAAATTCCAAGGAAGAGCAGGCTTGGGGGTCTGACTCCCCTTCTGATCCAGCCTCAGACCCTTGGATACTTACCCTGATGACACGGTAGGGATCCCTGATCCAGTGCCACCTAATGAAGATCTGAAGGTCCACGCAGAGCAAATGATGTGAATGGCAAAATCATTGGAAATAGAGGTGACCTCCAGCAGTACAAGGCCTTGAGACAAGACCCTAGGCAAGCGATATGAAGAGTCACCTGGTATAATCACCTTCCCTATCCTGGAGGATATTGCTGACATCTCCAAGGCCCTCTGGCAAAAACCAGCTAGCATGGCTGCCACATCCAAAAAGGTGGAGAATTTATACAGGGTGCAATAAGAAAGTCATACCTATTTATTCAGCCATCCTCTGGCTTCATGACACTTGGGTTTTTCCAATTATTTTGGGTTATAGATCAGAGTTTTGGCAATGGACACCCCTCCAACATCCTGATCAGGCTCTGGATAACTGCATGCCTGAGTTGGAACAGGAGCTGCCATCACTTATCCAAAAGGGGGCAGTACACAGGGTTCCTGACTCAGACTTCTTCACAGGTTTCTATTCATGTTTTTCCCTGGTGCCCAAGAAAGATGGAGGCTTTAGACCAATCCTGGATCTGAGGGGTCTGAATTTTTTCCTGAATATTAGAAAGTTCAAAATGTTGTCTTTGGAGTTGGTCCTGCAACTGTTAACTGCTGGTTTTGTGTACTTGACCTTTAGGATGCTTATTTCCATATAGCTATTTACCCCTGTTATCGCAGATGCCAGTGCTTTAAATATAATCGTATTTCTTTCCAGTACATGGCCTTTCCGTTTGGCTGGTGACTGCCCCATGGGTATTTTCTAAATGTGTTGCTGTTATGGTAGCATATACCTAAGGTCTAAAGGTTGTTCTGTTTACCCATATTTCGATGACTGGCTCATTATTGCACCTTCCTGTAAGGAGCTAGAGTTGCAGGTTTCCCTGATTATTTCAAACATGCCAGGAATTGGGTTTGGTAATTCACACCTCCCAACATTCTAAGAAGGTTTCCTTTATTGGGGCCCTTCTGGATGCCACAGTGGCCAAAGCTTTCCTACCAGTAGATAGGACCTTCAAGGCGTTGATTAGGTGCCTGTCTAACAACAGATTTCAATCAATCATTTTCTTTCAGAAGCTGTTAGGACTGATGGCCTCTACCACAGCCACAAACTTGCATGGGTGCCTAAGGACGCGACCTTTTACAGGATTGGTTTTAAAGTAAATTTCACAGTGCCATGTATTCCTACCATACGAGGTTCACAGTACTTAGGTCCATAGTATGGCAGTTGGGCTGGTGGGTGTGCGATAGTAACTTCCTAGCTGGGGTACCATTTGGGGGAAGGGCCCGGCAGCAACACATCATTGCAGGGCTGGGGAGCCCATTGTGGGTCACTGTCCATTCAAGATGTGTGGTCACCTGAAGAAAGGAGTTTTCATATTAACCTCTTAGAGTTACATGCAATATGTTATGACCTTACCTCGGTTTGTAGAGCTCACAAGGGGAAAAGTTATTCAGGTCATTACAGGCAATACTACGGCAATGACCTATATAAATTGACAGGGGAGCAGTCTCGGCAGCCCTGTGCAGGGAAGCCACTTTCATTTGAGAATTGGTCGTAGCCCTCCAAGCAGTACATGTGGCAGGTACTGCCAACACAAGAGCAGACATCCTCAGTAGAAAGGGGCAATCAGAACACTAATGGTCTCTGGGGAAGAATTATAGCCTCTCAGTTTTTCAACAGTGGGTTTTTTTGGGAGTGGACCTTTTTGCTGCCTGCACCAATGCAAAAGCCCTGGCATTCTGTTTCAGGGTGGGTACAGATAGTTTCTCTCTAGGAGGTGCATTCCAAATCCAATGGATAGGCACTCTGATTTATGCCTTCCCACCAATCCCACTTATCCAGAGGGTGTTGACCAAAATCCGAGAAGAGCACATGTGGTGTATCCTGATCACTCCCTTTTGGCCCAGGCAAATCTGGTTTCAGGTCCTCCTATCATTATCCAAGGGCCTCTACATACACCTCCCCTTTGCTGCAGACCTACTTCGCAGGGATCCTATGGTCCACTATGAGGTGCGCAGGCTCAAGTTGACAGCTTGACTGCTGAATGATCCCAGTTTGGGTTCTCTGAATAGCTAGCCAGTGTCCACCTTAACGCCTGTAGACCTTCTACTAGTAAATGTGTCCATTTTTCTGATTGGGCCAGGACACAGGGAGTTCACACAGAGAATTGTCCTATTGCCCTGCTATTGGAATATCTACCGTCTCTTAAAAACTCTAGTCTGGTGGTTTCGTCCATTAAGGTACATTTAGCCACTATTTCTGCCTATCATGCCAAGATCCAGGACAGGACACTGTTTTCTCACCCAGCATCCAAGAGTTTTTTGAAGGGGTTGTTTAATTTGTTTCCTCCATGACCACCTATAGTGTCACAGTGGTCCTTGTCACTGGTTCTCTCCCAACTCATGTTAGTCCCATTTGAACCACTAGGTTCTTGTACCTTGCAAATCTGGTCTTTCAAGGTTGCCTTTTTGATGGCAATCACCTCAGCCAGGAGAGTGGGAAAGTTGACAGCTTTGAGGGCTGACCATCTGTTTATTAAGTTCAAGACTAGCCATGTAGTTCTGAGACCCAGTTTACGTTGTTTACCTAAGGTGGTCTCTGCTTTCCACCTTGCTCAGGACATTGTCCTTCCAGGTTTTTTTCCATCTCTTACCTCAGACACCAAAAAACAGTACGTTCCTTAAATTTGGGAACAAAAGGTTTCCTGCAGTCCCAGTGCCTTTTTGTCTGCTAATTTGGTAACTCAAGGGGGAGGCCAGCCACAGCACAGATCATTTCTAGATGGATAGTCTCAGCTATTTGGTTGGGGTATGAGCAGGCCAGTCTACCATGTCCTCTGGAGCTTCGGGTGCATTCTGCATGGGCGCAGGCAGCATCAGCACTGTTCCGGAGAGACACTCCCTTGGAGGACATCTTCCGAGCAGTGAGGTGGTTGCCATAGGACTCCTTTGCCAAGCACTACTCCGTGGACAGGAATGCGAGAAGGGATTTAGCAATCGGCAGAACCATGCTGCACTCTTTGTCCCATTGAAACTCAACCTGCCTCCAAGGTAGGGAGCTCTGTAGTCTCCCAATGTGGGACTACACAGAGGACTGAAGATTAAAAAGGTTTTGCACTTACCTGTAACTGTTGTTCATCAAGGTGTCTTCTGTGCAGGCACACATTCCCTCCTTCCTCCCTGCTGTGAGTTCATAGGATGCAGTTACATTCATGACACTCATGGACTGAGGAAAAGGGGGGTTTCTTTCTGCAGAGCATATGACTGGTAGGCGGGAAGAAGGCCTCTAATGAGCTCTGCAGGGCAGGGGCTCCCCTTGGAGTAAGAGAACCTCTGGTGGCTGGCCTGCACAAGCGCAGTCCCAGTATGTGCCTGCACAGAATACACCTTGGTGAAGATAAGCATAGATAAGCATATGGAGCAGAGGTCCATCAGTGGCTATTAGCCACAAGGTATAGATAGCGACTCTGGGGCAAGTGATGCTCTGTCATCTTGGCAGGGCCGGCTCACTCACTAGGCAAACTAGGCGATCGCGTAGAGCAGGACGGCCCTTAGGGGCACCAAACTGCACCTGGCCCCGTACTCTGGGGGTTTCTTGATTATTTGTGTTTTTCATTCTTCCTAAAATGCATTTATTTTTGAAAATTGGTGGGCGCACGGGGGGGGGGCAGAATGGATCCTCGCCTAGGGTGCAAAATAAGCTGGAGCCGGCCCTGCATCGTGGTGCTGGGGGGGGTCAACGGTGGGAGGGCTTCTAATGTCCTGGCCCCACTGGTGGACCTCCTGATGGCACTAGTATTTCTGGCCACTGTGTGATACGGAGTGTTGGACTGGATGGGCCTTGGCCTGATCCAACATTGGCACTTCTTATGTTCTTAACAGTTACAGGTAAGTGCAACACTGTTTAACCAGTCTTGTGCATATAAGATATATCCAATATATCAAGATATATTGTCACAGTGTTTTATGTTGTAAAATAGTATTCTATTCAAAGAAAATTTTTTATGATCTTTTAATTTCTTCTTAATTCTATATTTTAACCATGTGTATGTATTTTACCTTATATTTATTTGCAACATTATGTTCCACACACAAACCTGATTAGTTGTGTTGTTATTTATTCTTTTGATTCTTTATGTTGAACAGTTCAGGTCGTGGTACCTGCCTTGACAATGAGCCTCCCAAGCGTGACTTTCTTTATCCTGCTGTGGCCCCAGGTCAGGTGTATGATGCTGATGAACAGTGTCGTTTCCAGTATGGAGCAACATCCCGTCAGTGTAAATATGGGGTAAGAAGTCTTGATCCTTTTGCTAAATATCTTGCTGAGTTTTCTGTATATATTCATTACATATTTAACTAGATGCAATGAAAGCAATGTAGTTTTCTATTAGTAATTTGCACAGTAATACTGGTTTAAATGAGAAATGAGAGATACTTATGCTGCATCTTTTGCTTGAGTCATTTGTATATATTTTGCTCGCAGTGTTTGCGTAAGAATGAACTGAGCAATTTCCCCCCCTAAACCTGGACACTAACTGAAAGCTTCAATTAAGCATACAATACAGTCTTGGTACAATACAAGCATTAAGACCCGTTTCTGATTCCTTGAAGTAAGATGTAAAAGTGCTGTTACTGCATGGTAGACAGTGCTCATAAGACATTAAACTTACAAGTACTAATATTGTGATGCGTCTTTCTGTTTTCCTTGTTAAACTCAGTTTTTAGTGATGCTGTGATCATATGACTATTAACAATTCTTACTCATTTTTACTTCATATTTACACACAGAGGAGAATTAACAGGTGTTTTCTTTCCTGTTTTAAGAGTATTTATTATTATTATTATTAATTAAGAGCTGTATACATGGCACATGCACAAGTCTACAATCTGGGAATAACAAAATAATGCAAGATTCTTAATTCTTTGTTTGTGCTTTGGAAATGAGACCCTTTTTGGTGCCAAGTTACATATAATTTTATATACTTTTAAAATAATAAAATAAATTAAAATGTTTAGCCAAGCCTAAAAAAACTTTTTAAATAATTTACCTAATCACTTGCACTAATCACTTCTGTTAGAGATATAGTACAAAGGGAATTCATTTTTAATATCCCCAGGGTGACAAGTACAATATTATTCTTGGGACAGTATTATGACTCTTGGCAGCTCATATAGCAGTGGATTTAAAAGTTGTGTGTGGTTGGCTGTCTGACTGGTTGGGTCTCTCATTCTTGATGTCTCAGCAAAAGCCTTTATTATTTCTATTTAAGCTTCTATTCCTCACTCTCTTCTCTCTCTCCCCCACCCCCATTATATCCAGTCCACTTGCTTTCATACTCTTCTTTTTTCATTTCCCTATAGTCATCCTATTTTTAGTGTTCATTCCGAATCAGGGGGTTTGCAGATATCCAATTTCATGATGTGAACATTTGTGGGATGTTATGTTTTAATCTGCACTGAATACTTAGACTGTATTCAGAGGTGACAAACAATCTGAGGAATGTTTGTGACAAGATTGAGTTTACACACAATCCTCCCTCCTTCCTCCCCTTATCGCTGGAGCCGAGATTGAAGACTTCCTGGTTTTAAAGAAACTGCTGTTTGTTGTGATATGGTGTAGCAAATTGTGGTTTGAGTCTTGCCTACAAACCAGGATACTACCAAAGTTTTGAATTCTAGTTTGTAGACATCAGATAACCCAGCGTTTTAATATCAAAACAAATTGCAGTTTCCATCAAACCAGAAAGTTTTCAGTGTTGGCCTTGTCACTGGAGTTTGTCCCTGGCATCTGAATACAGCCTTAGTAATGTGCAGATTGTTGCTGAGCGTATGAATTATATCTTTCATTAGCCTCTTTTAAAAATTTCTGTATTCTATACTGTGTAGCTGATGTTGTATAGTAATATTCAGTGTGTGTTCTGGGCAATGGGCAGAGGTTTCACCCGGGCACAGCTATTTCTGCCAGTTGTTCAAGGGATTCTGACCCCCTACAAGTTCCTTTTGGTCTCGAGCAGCACTTTGGCTGTGGTTTTATACCACAGTGAAAGACAAAGTGAGAAAACGAGTTGAACAGAATCAGCACCTGGAGAAAGGAACTCTGTAAGTCTTTGATGTTAAAACCATTTTTCTCAAGCTTCTGCTGTCCCCCCTCCCTAAACCAACTCCGAGCATTTATTAACCAGGTGAGGGTGCAGAGATCTTTCCTGGCTGCTAAGAGATCTGTGGATTACAGTGAAAAAGACAGATATTCTTTTAGCGACAGTGCCCCTATCCAGGGGCTGGAAAAGAGGGCTTACTTTGAACTCATGGTAGGTAGCTACAAAAGGAAAAGTTCTTTTCTTCATGTGCTGTTTACTTAGTGTTTGCTGCCTCACATCTACTTTCTTACTCTGATTTGTGCCTACCAGTAATCAGGGCTCTGCTTTGAATGGGAACTAGAGGAGCAGCTAATTGCTTCTAGAGTGCTAAGCACTCCTTCTGCCTTGTCTGTAAGCTCATCTCATACACCCAACAAGAAGCACCTATCTTACAGTTGTAGAACTTAGGGTTCAAAAGTGGAAAAGAGTATATTGTCTGTAATTTCACTTCTGTTATCTAGGAATGTTCTTTTGAAAGTACGTGGGTCTGCTTCATGCATGTTGCAACTCCTGCACATTAAACTTTGAGGGAATTTCCATGAATGTATGTGATTATGTGGGACGACTCTTCATGCATGTAAGCCTCATGTACATTGTGAAACTGTGGCCAAAATTATTCCTGTGTAGGATTTCTGTGTTTTATGCCAGAGCATTTGGTCATACCAAATTGTGGAATCAATCCAAATCTCTTAATTAGACAAAAGTGTTTGAATATTAACTTTTCAAAAACGTACACATTCTGAACAAGAATTATACAAACCTCTTAATTATCCTTGTTTGTTTCATAAAATCATGCATTTTTTCAGTTTTATTGTGTACATATCTAGTGGTAAGTCATATGTATTCATATATATCCCAAATTAAAAATATTCAGAAGCTATTATAATAAATGCCTATGCAATTGTAGTTGTAATCATTTTGATTATAGTAATAGACTCTACCTTCACAAAATGGCCAACATTCATATATATTCCAAATTAAAAATATTCAGAAGCTATTACAATAAATGGCTATGCAATTGTAGTTGTAATAATTTTGATTATAGTAAATTAATAGACTCTACCTTCACAAAATGGCCAAAAGACAACATAAAATTTGCATTATCTTCAGTTAGGGATTAGATGTTCAAGGAATACAGTGTAAATTGTGCATAGGCAACTGGCAATCCACAGACAAAGTCTTGCTCATCATCCTAAATAGAAGCCACCTGTTCTGCAGTTTCTTATACTGTATTGTTGCTTCATTCTGAAATGAGCTTATTCCCAGAAAGGAGGGAGAAGAAATCGAGGGCCAGTCACTAGATAACTCATATCACTTGGTATTGCAAGTGGGAAGAAATAGGAATGCTTAAATGATTGGTAGGCAACCATGCATGTGACCCTCATAATTTGGACCTTCTATGTTCCATAACCAAGACTAACGTTGGCATTCAGGCTTTAAGCCAACATCATGTTCTGATGGTATCACAACACAGCAGTGTTGAATAATCAATCAGTTGCTTACTTACAGCAAAGAGAAATATTTGGGGAAATGTAGGGCCTTCCTAGGGAGATAATGTTTGGCATGCATGCTGTGGTTAGTGGTGTACTGCTTCATATAGGGGAAGGAAAATAGTGGAAATAGGGTGGCTCATTACTCTCACTTGAAAGTGGGGTGGACTATTGCCCTTGTGGCCAGATCTAGATCCAATTTAGTTGATGACAGGCATAGATAGAGAATACAAGATTATACATAACTAGAAATAAAGCCCGTTGTGGAAATAAATACAACGGGATCTAGAAAGAGGCTCTAGGAGAGTGCTCTGGCTTTGGGCAAACAGTGTCAGCCTGCTTTTAAAACATGAACCTGGGACCTGCACACCACCAGAATACAGCAGGTTCCATATGCAACTGACATTCCAACTGCCTTGCGGGGGGGGGGGAGTTTGAGGTGTGGAATGGAGTGAAGTCCAATCAGCTTCCATATGCAAAAGACCAGGTTGTCGCAGCAGTTGTGGTGTGGGCAGGACCCGGGCTTTGCCTTCTGATTGGTGGCGATATATGCTGAGGAGCAGTGCCATCAGCCATACACTAAGGGAGTGCATTTTAGAATTAGAACTTTGGCACCCACTATTCAATTATATATAAGGAGAGATGCCATAACCATGACGGCCTATGTTGTTGTGCTGCCATTGCTCCCTGTGAGAGCCAGTTTGGTGTAGTGGTTAAGTGCGCGGACTCTAATCTGGAAGAACCGGGTTTGATTCCCCACTCCTCCACTTGCACCTGCTGGATGACCTTGGGCAAGCCATAGTTATGGCACAGCTGTTCTTGAAAAAGAGCAGTTTCTGTCAGAGTTCTCTCAGCCCCACCTACCTCACAGGGTGTCTGTTTTAGTTTATTTAATGTTAGCTTATCCTTTGTCCCTACTCCTTCAGAACTATTTAGCTGCTAACACTGCTACTCCTATACCTGTACAGTACTTGTACACAGAACAATACAAATTTGTGACAGTTTTCCATGCATGCTTTTTTTACTACTTATTTTTTGTATGGAATTTATTTGTGAATTCAGCTTAGAAATTTTGTACTTGAGAAAAAATAATTTATTTTTGGTCTGTTTCAAATGCACGTATTTATAAATTAGGTTAAGGTCTGAAATATTTTGTAGAACTGAATAGTCTACCAACATGGTAGACTTACTGTGGTACATTTTGTTATCTGTAAAGTTCCCTTTTGATAGTGCTGATTTGGTAATAGATCCTAGACATTAATATTCTGTTTTACTATTTTTGCCCTTTTCAAGGTGCACACACATAACAAGCCATATTCTGTTCCATTAAAATCACTATAAACCCAAGGAGTAACCTTGGTCTTGTACCTGCCCCCCTTCAACTGGATCTTTGAGGCCCCAGCTTTAGAACAAAGTTTGTTCTTTATTGTTGTCAAGAAAAGAAAGTACCTTAAACTTTTCAGTTAAAAATGCAAGTTAAGGCTGCTTGGCATCATAATTTGCATAATTATGCATCATTTCCATAAACATTAGCATTATTACCATAACTACTTGCTATCATAATTAGTATAAGTGAAGATGTACTGAAAGAATTTGTATGCAACACACAATGGCACAGGTGTTAAGCCCTTACTGCTTCTTGTGCCCTAGTATTCCTTAGT